GTTTCCATTCCCTTAAGTCCTTTAATTGCCCTAGAAGGATAAACTTTTCTATTTCTATTTTAGTTAAGGTTTTACAAGAGAAAAACACACAAAAATTTCATTCCAGTGGCATTTAAGTGCAAGCGGAACTTGTTGAGTTCCAGCTGGAAAATCAGAGAATGAGCTAATTAGATACTTTTAAGAATGGCCATAAAATTGGCAACGTTTGCAAAGTGCGTCACAAACTTGATTCGCGATACCGCGCAAACGCAATACGTGCTCCTGATCCTCTTGCAAGTTCCTCAGTGTACGTCACGATTAAACCACTAAGCTACACAGGAACACAAACTGCATACCATAGGTGTATTTACCTGAAAACTTTGACTTAGGTTAGACAGCTTTTTTTTTTGTCACTTTATGGTTTTATGTTCCTGCTACTTTCGATTTGACTCTCATTTTTCCATCATAAACCGAGTGCGTTATTAACCTATAGGATCTGAACCACAAAAACGCCGCTACTTCCTCGCTTGATGTTAGGCCTTTTACCTTCTGATGAGATATTAGATGACAAAAGGTTACATGTCACTGCAGAAGGAAGTGATAATGAGTTAAAACCTCTGAAATGGAAATAAAATTGCCATACTTTTTAGTAATTTTATCGCTTTGGTTATTTCGTTGTTATACCATTAGCTTGGCCCTGAGAGTTTAAACAAGCTATAATAGCTTTATCTATTAAATGAGATAAGGAAGCTATTTGGTCACAAACACATGCAGTGACGGTTTGAAACATGATAAAATCCCCTTCAGTGCCAAGATCATTCACCAGGCACGTCCAAGCGAGACAAACTAATTCCTGTCTGACTTAATCTCGATTTTACTTAAGCCCCAGAAGATTGAACGTTCAGTTTCATCAGCGAACACTTTCAACGATGGAGACCGTAAAATCTCGAGGTAACAGTTTCCTGACTGTTGCCGTGATTGTGAATATTTTATTCAGTCTTGTTTCCGTCGGATGCCTCATTTATAAAGTAAGAGTATTAGAAGAGCAAGTTTCTCAGTGTAAGAGTGGCTCGTTGAG